AAGACAAAACCTCTGATCCCGGTGAGCGACCCAGATTGGATATTGCAAGATTAGAACTCACAGTCCCCTGTTTTCTAGGGCAGCATCTTAACTTGTCATGCCCCTGTTGGAGTCTGACTCCAAGGGAGAGTTGGAACAGCTGACAGAGAGTGGGAGTATGGCTCGGGTGGTTGTGGAGGAAACTGGGGAAGGGCACAGGCCAGATGGGCATTTAGAGGAAGACCTAGGCCCATCCCCTCTTCATCCTAGGGCATGCAGGGAGGAGCAGATAAGGGAGAAACGTGAGTGGCGTGGTCTATGGGGGAGGAAGGGGCCCTGATCACCTTCATGGGATATATTGAGAGAACAAAAAAGGCATTCCATGAAGTTGCTTTCCATAGAGTTACCATTGGGATGAGACAACTTTCTGTAGCCAACACACCCTGGCTGTCTTGCCCTGGCTGATTCCCCCTGGTCAGTTCACCGCGGTCAACTCGCTATGGCATAATTCAACATGGGATAACTCAAGAGAAGAACAAGTGAATCGCAGTGGGTTTTGTCTTGTTTTAGGTTTGAACCTTGAACCTAAAGCAAGACAAGGCCCTCTGCAATTCGTTAGTCCCTCTCTTGAGTTATCCTGCATTGAATTGTCCACAGCCAGATGACCATAGCAAATTGTCCTGTTGTGAGTTGGCCGGGGCAAGTCAGCGGCAGTGAGTTGTCATAGCCCCAGCTACAGTCATGGGTCTTGTCTAAAACCGGCCTTAGGTACCAGATCCTACACCTGTTGCTAGTATCTTCTGGAACTGCTGTCTTCATGGAATGCCTTTTTGTTCTCCCAATGTATCTTCTGGTCTTATCATCCTTCCTTTGCCTTCTAAATATTCCAGGACTGATTCCGTAGGGTTTATTTTATTTTTTTCTTAAGTTTCCAGGTGGGTATTCAGGAAAAGGAATGGATGCTTGTCCAAACCAGCACCATATTTTCTCCTCCATTCTACAGTAGTTCAGCTCATCTGGATAGCACCTGGATAGGGAAAGCGAGCCCAGACTTATCTACTTTGCAAATACATCTGGGCATCATTTTTTTTTAAAAAAAAGAGATACATAACATACTGCTTTCTCATCGTCCTTTCCAAAGAAAAGATGTGAATTGCACTTTGGAAAGGCTCCTGGCACATGTTGAAAAGATCACATCTGCACATAATTCTCAGGATTCTCTTTTGAGAAGCAAGTGGCTTTTTACAGCCAGCTTGAGACATAAATATGGATCCACTGCTAAATACTCCCCACCTCCAGGAGCTCATTCTATCCCACTTCCATCTCTCCTCATCTCACCTCATAATTTACTGATGATGTTATCTTGGAAGTATACACTTCCCCGGGACCTCCGGGACCTGCTGCCCCATAAATATTGGTTTCCAAGGGAGGGCAGGGGCTCATCACATCATACTGGCTCCCTTGAGGCTGGAGATGGAAATCGTTGCCAGGGTCCACACTCGGGTAGTGGAAATCTGGAGAGTAAGCTCCTTGGCTGGAGGCATCTGGTGGCCAGGCAGGAAAGGCAGCAACTGGATACTGAGGAACTGTAGACTGTCCTAGAGTAGAAACCCCTTTTTCTATTGTTCCATGGGGGTCTAAGAAAAGAGATTTGGGGAAGTTAGTGTATAAATTTGATTTCTTTGGAGAAGCACTCTGTAGAGTTGTAATTGCAGGAATGTTATTATCTGATGGCAAACCTCAGAGAAAAGAATGTTTCCAAGCAAATACAACTCAGGCAAACAAAGTTACTCATCTAAAGGAGGATTAGAGAGAGGAAGTGAACATATGTTGGACTTGACTAGAAATCATTAATTGTGTTAGTTACTATGCTGAACAATAACGAAAGTCAAGCAGAAACCAAAGTTAACCAATGTTAGAGGATTACTAAAAATGTGTATAAATGCAAGACTAGATTCCAATAAAGATCATCATGAATCAGTTGATCATGATCAAACACCTCAACTGCCTCGTCATTACAACAGCACTCAGATCACTGTACTCAGGCCCACATTTAAGACCTTAGTTATCTGTTGCAACTGTCTAACTGTCTATATAACCGTCTTAGTCAATGAGTCTGAGTGGCTTACAATTCCATATATATATATATAGAATTGTATATATATATTCTCTCTATATATATTGAATTGTAAGCTGCTCAGGATCATTGTCTAAGACGGGCAGCTGTAGAATTTGAATACATACCTACATACATAAATAAAGTCTTAAGTCTACCTTGCAGGACTGTTGCAACGTAAAAATGCACCCTTGGAGGAAATGTTATTAAATACATAATAGTTAATCGATAATCCTAAGTAAAGACCTAATGGAACTTTGAGCAATAAATCTGCAATAAATCTATCTGAATAATAAATCTTGCCCCGTGAATAAGTAATACAGGACAATCTCTGTATTTTAAATAGTTTTATTGGGATTTTAAACAAGAAATATAGAAACTAATAGAAACCAATGCTTAGAAGGAAGAAAAGTAGGAAGGAAAAACAAAGCCAGAACTGCAGGGGGAAAAAAAACTTCTGATTTTCTTTTACAGCAGTTATAAGTGGAAATTAACTTCTTACTTGATGGTTACAGCATGGCTCTCCCTTTTTCTATAGTCATATTTTTTAATCATCAAAACCATATATCAAAAGTTCACCCCCCCCGCCATTTCATGCACACATGGTCTATAAGGATTTTCCAGTCAGCATTAAACTTAATGTTTTTACTCTGATCAAAGGTGTCAATTTGGCCAATGACCTTAGTGTGTTTGATAGACAGTGCAGGAAGCACAAACATGAGGCTGAGATAGCTTTCTCCAATAAAGGATAATTAGTTTAGCATTCACAACTGTGGTAGCCACCAGAGACAGTCTTGTTATTGTCTTCCAACTGAAAAATCCCCCTCAGCAAATCATCCATCTCCACTTTTGAAGTTAGACGTGGCAACATCTGCCTGGGGCCCTTAACAGTCTAACCAGATCTTAAGTGGGCAGAACTTGTGGTTCATTTGAACATCTTCCATTCTGAGGGGTCCTTTCCTGCAGACGTTTCATTATCCAAACCAGTGGCGGATTAAGGCTCACTGGTGTCCTGAGCACTGACAAATCTTGGTGCTCTCCTCCTTTGTGCATACAGTACAAAGGAAGCCAAGCTTACTCTACCTGACTCTGTGGTTTCTTCCCCAAACCCCAAAAACTTTAACCTTAGACTGTCTACTATTGACCTCACCCCTTTCCTAAGAGGCCTGTAGGGGGCATGCATAAGCGCACCAACGTGCCTACCGTCCCTGTCCTATTGTCAGTGACAGTATCCTTCCCCTGCCACACCCACCAAGCCACACCCACAGAACTGGTAGTAAAAAAAATTGAATCCCACCACTGACCAGAAGTCCAGTTCCCCCACCATAGCCTCTCCTCCTAGGGCAGCGGGATGAAAGAGCCACATGCAGCTCCAGAGCCTCAGGTTGCTGACCTCTGCACTATACCAATTTGACAAAGGTGGGATTCATTTTTTTTTACTACCAGTTCTGTGGACGTGGCTTGGTGGGTGTGGCATGGCTTGGTGGGTGTGGCAGGGGAAGGATACTGCAAAATCCCCATTCCCTCCCCACCCCACTAACCTCCGTTCTCCTGTGCAGGGCAACCAAAGGAGACACAGCCAATCAGCTGGGACTCAATGGGAGGCAGAGAAGAGATGGGGGTGGGGCCAGTCAGATGTGGGATTTGCGGTTCTCTGAACTACTCAAAATTACCGCTACCGGTTCTCCAAAATGGGTCAGAACCTGCTGAATACCACCTCTGCAATTTGAGTTCCCCAGGCAGCCTGAGGATTATTGAAAATTCTGGTAGTTGACAGTCACCCAGGCTGGGAAGTGTCCAGGTTTAGCAAGACATGCTGAAACAATGTCCTAACCTTATTGTCCTAAAGCAGAGAAGAAATCAAGAATGACTTGGTGTTCTCCAAGAATGTATTTTCCTTAGCAGCGAAAGATCTAGGTTAGTCCTTGACTCAAATCACAATGGAGCCCAAAATTTCCGTGACTAAGCGAGGCTATTGATAAGTGAGTTTTGCCCCAATTTTATAGCCTTTTTGCCACAATTGTTAAGCAAGTCACTTCAGCCGTTAAGTGAATCCTACAGTCATGATGTGAATCTGGCTTCCCTCATTGACTTCGCTTATAGAAAGCTGGCTGGGAAAGTCCAAAAAAGCGATTATATGACCTTGGGATAGTGCATCTGTCCTAAAATACTTGCTAGTTGACAAAGGGGATTTTGACCAGGGGGATGCTACGACGGTCATAAGTGTGAAACCCAGCCCTAGGTCACTTTTTTTCAGTGCCATTGTAACTTGGAACATACTGAATGAATGGTTGTAAGTTGGGAACCACCTGTAGTGGCAGTGCCATTTTGAGAACCAAGCAATGATTCTGCAACTGTAAGAACCAGGAAACGGATTAGAGAGATTAATAGCTCGAGATTGAGAGATAAAGAGATAGATAATGAGTTAAATCTGAAACTGCTTGGAAGTTTATTAAGTGACCTAAGCCAAAAATAAATTATTCTTGCTGCAATTTAAGTGGAAAACCTTAAGTACTTCAAAGACTTTGCATAATCTGTTAACCTCCAGATGCACTGGAAAAATCTCTGCTCTGTTGGAATTGCTGGAGTTGTTAAGATGCCAGCTGGAGGGTACCATGTTTAGAGAAGCTGATGGAAAGCTAAATTCACAAGAGCATTTGTGACAGAGATAAAGCAATTACATTCCCAGATGTCTTGAGTCCACTCACCTGGCCAGCTGGCTTCTAAAGCTCCTGGCGGGATCTGAAATGGGAATAGAAAGAGAGAGAAAGTAATGAATCTGAGAAAGGCAATAAGACCAGGTGGGATCAACCCTCTCTGTTCAAATGCATTTGAGGAACAAGATGAATGAAGGCCCAAATAGTTCAGTGATTCCACAAAGAACCTAGAAAGAAACTGAGTTGTGTCGGTGAAGTATCTCAGTCATCCAGGAAAAGCAGTGGTGGGATTCAATTTTTTTTTACTACCGGTTCTGTGGGTGTTGCTTGGTGGGCATGGCAAGGGAAGATCCCATTCCCTCCCCACCCCACTAACCTGCTTTTCAGCTCCGTTCTCCTGTGCAGGGCAACAAAAGAAGACCCAGCCGATCAGCTGGGACTTGGGAGGTGGAGAATAGATGGGGGCCATGCCAGTCAGAGGTGGTATTGGCTGGTTCTCTGAACTACTCAAAATTTCCATTACCAGTTCTTCAGAACTGGTCAGAACCTGCTGAATACCACCTCTGAGGCAAAGGTGTCTAATGGGACAACTCACTACGGCCAACTTGCCATGCCAACTTGCACAACCAATTCACTACAACCAACTCACCATGGCTAACTTGTCACAGGACAACCTCACTGCCGAACAATTCAACAATTCAGTTTAATTATTTTAAATAGCTTTAAAAATCTTTTCATTTTTGCCCTTCACATTTCAGTTTGTCCTTCCTTCGGCATCCTTTCTTATAACGGTTCTATTCCACTATTTCTTCGATATTGGTGTAACTCTTGTCCTGCAGCAAATTGGCCATGGCGAATTGTCCCATGGTGAATTGGTCGTAGAGATTTGGCCATGTTGAGTTGGCCGTGGCGAGTTGGCAGGCAAAGGTGCCTGAAGGTTGAATCATGGCAACTGGACAAAATTGGTCCAGTTGCCATGATTCAACCTTCAAACTCAGTTGTGGTTTGGAGAAGATTGTGCATGTAATGAGGGTGTCCAGGTGTCTTCAGCAGGTGACTCACCAGGGGTGCCGTGCTGTGGCTGAGAGCAGCTTGTTGTTGTCTTCGTTGCTCCAGTAACTTCCGCACAGTCTGAGGTGGTGGCCCTTTGCAGCCTGTAAGCAGACCAAGAGAATTGGGGTATTAGAACTGGGGTATGTATGGGGATCACCCATAATCTTCCCTTGAGGTATATAGTCTTCTGGGCAACTGCCCAGTATCAGACTTTAAGCTATACAATTTGGGATGAACACCCTTTGAATAGGGTGGGAGGAGAAATGGATTTCCAGAGATAAAATGGCAGACTATAGGAACCATTAAACACTACTCAGGTGACCCTGAGGACACAGATACACCTCCAGGTGCTTCAATGACCCTCTAAAAGGATGCAAATAACCAGTTGTCTTCCAGGAATATAAATCCTTCCATTCCCCACTATCCTGTCAAAGCAGGCCCTCTTCTCGGCTCCTGTAGCCCAACAAGAGCAACGAAGATGATTAGGGGACTGGAGGCTAAAACATAAGATGTACATTTGCAGGAACTGGGCGTGGCTAGTCTAGTTAAGAGAAGGACCAGGGGAGACAGGATAGCAGTTTTCCAATATTTGAGGGGCTGCCACGGGGGTGGGGGTGGGGGGTGTTCAACCTATTCTTCAAGGAAGGAAGGACAAGAAGCAGTAGATGGAAACTAATCAAGGAGAGAAGCAACCTGGAAATAAGGAGAAATTTTCTGACAGTGAGAACAACCAACCAATGGGACAGTCTGCCTTTAGAAGTTGTGGGAGCTTCATCACTGGAAACCTTCAAGAAGAGACTGGGCTGTCGTCTGTCATCTGCTTGGGGGGTTGGACTAGATGACCTCAGTAGGGATCTGAGCACTTTTTTCCTGAAGTTAGTAGCACAATACAGAGTTTGTTAGGGGAGGATAGTTATGTAGTAAACCAGGAGGTGCCCCATAAAAGTCTTTTAAACCAGCAAGTTTATATTTTAGGTGGAAACTGATTGGCAACCAATTCCATGCCTTGCACGACCGGTGTCTTACCATCAAAAGAACTGCAGCCTTTGCCCAATTATTTTGCCTAATCTTTCTCCCAAATAACTCACATCTGTTTATTTCATGGCTTCAGTTTCCATCACTGTGGATTCTTGAGCCTAGGAGTATGATGTCTGCTACTTGTTCAATTTTTTTGATTGCATTGGGTTGGTATTGTCTGTTGACATAATCTTAGATTTATTTTTATTTTTAATATTGAGTTTAATATTAATCCTTCCACCTTCAATAGGATTCTCTCTCTCTTTCTCTCTGGGTGTGTGTAATTTTAATTTAATTTATTCAATTTTTATCCTGTCCTTATTATTCTATAAGTAACTCAAAGACAGGAAACATACATAATACCTCCTCTTCTTTCTCACAATCTCCTCCATGAAATTGGGCTCAGAGGGAGTGATTGGTCCAAAGTCACCCAGGCATCTTTCGTGCCTAAAGCAAGACTAGAATTCACAGGTCTCCTGGCAATTGGCCCAAAATCACCCAGGCATCTTTCGTGCCTAAAGCAAGACTAGAATTCACAGGTCTCCTGGTGATTGGTCCAAAGTCACCCAACTGGCCTTTATACCTAAAGTCGGATTAGAATTCACATCTCCTGGTTTCCAGGCCAGCACCTTAACCATTACTTTCATTGAAAATTTTAACAACAATAGCAAGAACTAATGTAAACTAAAATAGAATGAAAAAGAATAAAAGGTGAAATAAAAGAAAAAATCTAAAGGTGCAGAAAGAAAATAGGTAAAAGTTGAGAAAAAGTAAAGAGATATATAGAAGACACTTGCAATCTTCTTCACAGCAGTTATAGGTATATGTTTTAACCTCTCTCTAAAGTTACATCATAGCCCTCTTCTTTCTATAATCTATAAATCTCATCTACAATGTATCCTGTCTAATCATCAAAGTCATAAATTACAAGCTCACATTTTTCTTTCTTGCACAAAAAGCCCATAAGGGGTTTCCAAATCACAGATAAATGTTATCTTTTCTCTAATCAAACCAGTCAATTTAGCCATTTCAACAAGTTCTGTCATCTTCGCCAACTATGTCCTCTGTCGTAGCGATTGCCAAAATCTTTCCATCTTTGTGCCTACCATAATCT